AGACATACGCTTCTTCAGCGCTTGCCTTGGGGCATTTCACATCACGAACGAAATCATCAGCTAAACTTGCCTTTGATTAACTTTCTGCAAAAATATTAGTGGAGATTTAAAAAATACATTTATTGAAAGCCTTGTGAACAAACAAAGGAACTAATAAGCACGGTCTAATCACAATTTTTATGGCACTGCGGCCGTTACCCCGTTACCCGTTAGATTGTTTGAATCTATCTCTAAAGTATACAAGAATAGCTCAAAAAAAGCCTATTGCTGATGGGGCTTATGGCCGTTCCGCTTGCATAAAGCTTTCCCTTGGCAGTGATTTTGCTCGATTGATTTCTGATTTGTGGTCAAGATCTTGCAAAATCTTAACACTTACATGATCCCTTGAGTTTGACGGTGAAGATATTCTTGTTACCCAAGCGAAGCGAAGTGGGAGTTGAAATCGTGATCGTTCCGGTTCCATAGAGCTTCCCTTTGGGGGGGTTTTTTTTTTTTTTTGTTTTTTTTTTTTTTTTGGGGGTGAGGGAGAGTTGTTTGCAAGATGATTGTTCCATTGGCTGTACAGCTGATCGAAATGTCGTTCAAGTCGCTAAATGGAATGTTTTCAATCAATTATCAGTCTGTTTTCATTTTTTTTTTGTATAAAAAGAACAATGGGCTAGTTTTAGCTGTTTAATTGCAATATCAAAAGTAATTAGGTTCATGAGTTAGCTTTTAAATTTACTTCTTTTCCCCGTCAACTGGGAAGACGGTCAAAGCCAGAACCACACCGATGCACACTTTGAGAACCATCACTACAATTGGAGATAATGGCCAATTATGAAATGAGAAGTAACAAAAACTAAGCTATCATTGAAAAAGTGATTAGTAAAAGGAGAATTTGTTTTTCAACGTCGTCGATCCCTTCCCACAAGAGATTGGACAATTAGATAATGCAAAAATCTTCATTAACAACTGCTTAGAAACTTTTTTCATTAAAAATTACACTACACATATAGAAAATGGTCAGAAAGGAAACATGTAGATTTGTTAGGTAAGTCGGGTAACAAGTACTGACTCATCTAGTGAAACGGTTCGACAATAAAGCTAGATACAAATCCTTGAGTCTAACAAGAAGCGAATGAAAACGGTAAGAAGAAATCTTTAGAAATAATTAGTGTGAATCTTTACAATCAAAGCTTGTTTTTGAAAGGGAGAATTTGCTCGCGTATGGGCCATTCCCTTCTTTTTCGGACATTTTCTTTTTGACGAATGCGCAAAAGGGCGATCTGATAAAATTTTGAAATTTGTTGACCATTGGAAACGTTATACAAAGCTCAAAAAAAACCCTTGATTGATTGTGAATTGCCAAAAAGAATGTAAAAGATGAAAACTTGAAAGATCGATCCCATCCTGCTCACACTTTAAACCAGCCAATAACCGAATCGATTCTCAATCTGTAAGATCATTTTTGTTGCTTTAATTTTGGTTCTTTTCTTTGTTTAAAATGTTTTTTTAACTTTAATACTATCAATACGTAAACTTTTATTGTATAAAAGTCATGGTTCAACTCGAAAACAGACTTTTGTGAGCAACAGAAGGATTACATCTGTAAATATGCTTGAAAATCATGGTACGGAAGTTTGTAGCCAGTTTCAAAAACGAAAAGATAAGTCCGTTGAATGACAAATTAGGATTGTTGATAACGGCGGAAAATGATAACACCGATAATGAGCAAAGAAAGAACGATAATGGTGCATGTGCCAACAGTTATCAACGTGCGCAAAGTCCCATTCACTTGTTTGAGTCTCTCGTTCTCCTGTTTGAGCACAGACGTTCCCCAATTCCAAACGTCAATCTCTTCATCGTTTGCCTTGGGACAGCTAACGTCGCGGATGAAGTTGTCAACTAAATTTATAAACTACCAACTATCGGATTCTATCGTCAGAAGCTGTTTCTATCGTCAGAATCCGACTCTGTCGTCAGAATCCGAACACATTCAAGATAGATCCATTCATTCAACTAAATATTTTGATTTTTCACAGAATTATTTGTTTTTAAGCTTGGTTTTGCCATTGTACATTTCCTGTACTTGTACTTGTACTTAGATTAAAAATGCGTAACTCAAGTTTACGACGAGCAAGGAGCAATCGAATACCGACACGATTCGATTTTGATGGCAAGAGCAAGATGGGGCATGACCACTCTGCTCAAAAAAACAGGCATGAAAAATGCTTCAGGCCAGTGTTTTTTATGTTTTATTCCGCTTATTTTAGATTTGGGGATTGATATTGGCTAAAACGTGCTGCTGCCTATTCCAATACCCGAGAAAAGCCCGTACAGACGGACGGACGGACGGACGGACAGACAGACTCCTGCTTTTTTATATAGTAGATTAAATGAGTTATTGCTTGAAAATTATTAAAATGTTAGTATCTGGACATTTCATATTCAAGATCTGGTTCTGGTTCTTAATTTTTTCTAGGCAAAACCATTTGAAAACAGGATTTGATGCACTCAGCACATTTTCCCTTTTAAAATTTCAATCCAATTTCAATGCACTTTCAATTTGAAAACATTGGTTAAACATTCCTTTTTTTAGCGGATTTATTAAATTAATTTTTTGAAAAATTTTTTTTTTAAGAAAACCTTTAATTGGTGGTGGAAAAAAAAAAATATTTTTTATGGGAAAAAAAATTTTGGGGGGGGGGGGGTAGTACAAAACAACTAAAAAAAAGGGGGGCCTATATATTTATGTATATTTTCATAGGTTCAAAACTTACATGGATTCTGAAGTTTAACAGTGAAGACGTTGACGGAGCGAAGACGGAGAGAAGTCGGAGTTGCGAAAGTGATTGAGCCGGCACCGGCAAGCTGTCCGCTGATGAAGAGCGGATTGTGGGTGGTCACTGAAGACACCACACAAGTGTAGATGAGAAATCGAGTTAAATGAAGCGTGATCGTCCCATCGACTCCACATTCAACCCAGAAATCATCCAATCCACGTTTCGCCCGTCTAAACTTTGATTCACTGTAAAGTTTTATGTTTTTTCTCTACAAAAGGCTTAAAATTTTGGTGTATGCTAGGCTTAGGCTTTGAGATGCATTTTCTATTTCCTTGGAAAACCACTACTCTGGCCCAGATCCAACTGAAACATTTGCAAAGATTTTGATCGATTTATCAAAATGTGAATTAGACAATGACTAGTACTTGTCAGTAATGGTACTTTCAGTACTGGTACTTTCAAGTTAATTTAGACTTACTCATTTCCTCCGGGAACAAGATAACTTGGTAAGCCAACGATTCGGTGAACTACATTCAAACCGACGAAAGCCAAGCACACTTTGAGATGCATTTCTGAAACTGATAAAAAAGGATATTCAGAAGCGTTTCCGACAAACAGGTTTAAAGTTTAAAGTTTAAAGTTTTGAACGATGATCAGTAATCAATGCCGAACAGGATCGGAATTTTTAAAAGAGCTAAATCAAATTTTGCAATGCGTTCCCAAATTGAAGTCACTTCCCCCTTTTCTTAGAGATTTGACAAACGATAATGTAAAAAAGAGAAAAACAAAAAGCGCAAAGATTTTGTTTCTCTACAACTTTTTAAAAATTGTCAACAATCAGTAGACGGTTTTTGAAGCAAAACTTTTTGAAATCAACAAATTCAAAGGATTACTACACGTACACGACTAACATATTAAGCTTCCTTAGCTATAAGCTTTTTTGGTTTCCTTAGCTAAAGTGTCCAAACCGCATTATTGAGCCGTCGCCCTTTTTGACTACCCGACTTCATGCTTTCAAAAGAATTCAGACATAAGTTTCAACGGTTTAAACCCGTTTAAACCGTTTCAAACCCCTTTCAATGTTATTTTGCAGGGAAATAATTGGCCTTTCTAATGAAACAAACCGTTCAATTGGTGTATTTGGTGATTTTAAACAGAAGTATGAAAAGGAATGAAAAGACCTTTTGGACCGCCTAATATTGGCCTATCCAGATATTGTTTTAAAACAGAACGAAAAGCTCACCTCTTGCTCTGATAACATTGTAGATATTTTTCTGTAGGACCGGTAGTGCGGTCTCCATGTTTAGTGTATCAGACAGTGTAGACCGTACCGTAACTATCCTGGGTACTGGGCCCAACTCATTGTCCGCTTACCACAGCTTTGATTCTTTCACACAGTGTTTCAGTCACTGGCCCGGTAAAGAAATTACGGAAAAAGTTTTCCTGATCAGACTTATTAAAGCTAAACAAACAAAATTTTTGAGTGGAAGCCCACGCAAAGCCGTGTTAGACTAAAATATTTTTCTCAGCGAATGAAAATGACGAATAAGTTATGAATCTGGGCGTATCATGAGGCTTGATATTTAAGGAGCTGCACAATCTAGACTATTAAAGCCGACAGTTCAAGGAGAGATCACAATTTGCCAATTCCAATCCTTCATTCAAAATGCGTGCTCTTCTCGTCCTCACCATTTGCCTTGCCGTCGTTTTGGCTCATAAGAAGGTTTGTGAAAATAACAATGCCCCAACTAACGATTATTTTACAGGCTGGTAAACACAATCATGGAAAATCAAGTGAATCAGTAAGTCTTACCTCCATTTTGGCAAGAATTGCAAACTTTCTGCTTCTAGAATGTTCAATTTTGAATTTGATTTCAGAAAAGCAGTGAAAGCAGTGAAAGCCACTCTCATTCAAGTGAATCTCATGAAAAGACAAAGAAACCAATGAAAACGACAACAATGAGATTGATGAGTTCATCGATTGGATCAACAAATGGGCCAATCGCTTCATCCACTTCACAAGGTCCAATCACCGGATCAACTACTCAATCTCCATCAAATGTCACGAATGAAACCACTACAGTATCTGCAACCGCTGTTACTGTAACAAGTGCTCCTCTTGCTAGAGGATAAGTCAATTTCCCATCAATTCAACAAATTATATGATGTTTGTTTGTGTATAAATCTTGCAAATTCAAGGCTCTCAAACAAACAGTTTATTCACGTAAACGTTTATGAAAGTTTTTCTCCGATTATCCAGATTTGTTCGGTTTCATGAAGTCCTCTTTCTTCAGTCTGAAATCAGATTTACTAGATAATTGGAACTAAATCTAAAGCACTAGATCTGTAAAGTTTTTCTTACAGTGGGGTAATTCTTATACGAAGAAAAGTCAAAAGTCAAAAGTCTCATCCACAGCCGTCATTCTAAAACATTTGTTGACAAAGACTTATAAGGGAATAACCCAAACACAAGTGATAATTTTTGGCGGGACCACGTTATAAAACAACTTTTTGATATGGAGAATACGATGCTGTTGTTATTTTTTGCCCAAATTCAGAATTGACCGAGAAACAAGCGTTCGAAGTTGGCACGAATTTGGGAATCGACTCGAAAAGTCGGATCTATGATTTCGCTTATGATTTGTCCTGCCGTTTAGCAAGCAGACGGCGTAGACGAAAGTATGTCGGACTTTGAAACTTTTGGTCCCGGTTTGGAAGCTCTTTTTGATCAAACTTTTTGCTTTTTTACACAAAAGCTTTTCGTTACTTTATCGAGTAGTTTAAATGTCAGAAAAAATTATTCCTCGAAAAACTATCTGTGTTTAGGTCATTCGCTCGTTAGTAAATGATCACTGAAGCAGAATTTCAACTTGCTTACTTACCCAGAAAGGAAAATCAATCCAATCAACAGAACACACATCCAGTAAACATTCAGAAACTTCATTTTTGGAATAGCAACCCGCAAAAATCAAGTCTTAAATGACAAGGAAATTTCTTTATATAATCTTTATCAGTTTACTCAAGAGTATCCACAAAAAACCCTTGAAATAGGTTTATTCATCATTCAAAAAATCAAATTCATTCATCAAGTGTACAGATTTTTTTTGGCTTCTTCGTTCAAAGATTAGCCTGGACATTTTCATTCCAAGTAAGGAAAGGTCCACGAATTTTCGAGAATAAAGTTTCTTTATTTATACTTAAGCACTAATTCAAAGGTTTGCAAGCTGTTGGCAGGCAGAACATACCGTAAATACTGTAATAGTACCCCACTCCCATAATGACGGTGCGGAGTGTTGTGTAGTCTAGCTTTGAGCGAGTTTTTCTTGACACTGTTTTACGCTACAATGCGCGCTTAGGTATCAAAAAATAGCTGAAATTCAGGGCTATTCTTTTATATCAAACACGTATTTTTTGAAAGTACGGGTACCTTGCAAAAAATGAAATACTAAAAAACTTTTCCGACTACGCGACTGTACGAGGGGGGTGGGGTACTATTACAGTATTTACGGTAAGCTGAATCCTATTGGAATTTGTATGAATTTGAAGACAATTTGCCAAGTTTTTTTCAGAATTTCCTTCTACAATTTTTCTTTTTTTAGTTTTTTTCTAAAATACTTATGTAAATGTAAGCTTTAAAAAAATGGCATATGAGTGCTGAAAGCTGAAAAATTAGGTTTATAGCCTGAAGCCTCATAATCTGCTAGTGCTGAAAAGTTGAGTTCTATACTTTAAAATACTTAAATAACGCTGTTTTTAGTCACAAAACTTCTAAAGATACTTCTAAACACCGTAGTTTTTTTAAACTTTTTGTGCAAATCAAAGTAAAAATGACCTGAAAACACATTTTTAGCCGGGCCTTGACCTTTTGAAAAACCCCGGCTTGTCAGGTTATAAAAAGATCAAAGTTATTTGTTACAAATTTAGACGATTATTCCATTCCTAAAGTTGATTGCCTCAAGGCCAGCGCCAAAGGAATCAACAAGACAAAAAATCGTAACGACAAGAACTTTTCTTAAGCATTTTACAGAGGGTTTTATCTCTTTACGTTCTCAATTCGATCACAGCATTTAAATTGATTAAAGTCTTTCTGTTTCTTATCGTTTTTAAATTATAAAAGACAATCTCTTTCTTCAAATTATCTAATTTTTATGTTTATTGCTATGAATTTTGTTTAGCATTTCGTTTTCACTTTCTCACAGTGAAATGAAGTGACAAAATGCATCCATCAAAATCTTTATTACTTTGTGCATTGACAGTGCTTAACCCCTAGCAAGAGGAGCACTCGTGACAATAATATCACTGATGGATACAGTAGTCGATTCAGCATTGTCAGTCAATGGAGTTTGAGTGGTCGAATCAGATGGGCCTGTAGATGGAGCGCCGGTTGGTACTCCAGTTGAGCCCATCAATCTTGTCGTTCTCATTGGTTTCTTTGTTTTCTCATGGGATTCGCTCGAGTGAGAGTGGCTTTCCTTGCTTTTCTGAAAATGAACTTTTGTGTTAAAGCCGGTGGCACAATCAATCGAACTTGAATGACAACGAGAAATTGTCAAGAAATCTTTTTGCATGCTTTAATAAACCCAACCTACTTATTCACGTCCTCTACGGCTTGGTACTAGCTTACATATTATTGTAGCTGTTTAGTGCTACTATGTACATTTGCGTCAGGGTGTTCAATATTAATGGAAGCTTTTGAGGTCGCACGTCGCTTTTGAGGTTTTCCTCATTGGCTTTTCTTCTTTCTCTTGAGAAGTTAAGGTACCGGATAGCTCAGTGGTTAGAGCAATTGCCCAGAAAACAGAGGCTTCAACCCCTCTCCGGAGATCTACTTTTTCTTGCCAATTTCTTTACTTCTTTATTATACACGGTGTTCAATATTTATGGAAACTTTTGAACTCGCAGGGCGTTTAGCGCTCTCAAAATTGGTTTATGAAAAAAAAACGTCAAGAAAGCATTGCATAGGAGTTGGAACAAACTCAACTTTTAGATTATTTTTACAGTCCACTAAATTTGATATTGCAGAAATCGATTCACCGGAATTCGATCACCAAATTTCACCAAAAGGAGTCAGAATTTTACCAAATTTCACCAAGTTTTCCTTGTTTAACGATGAGAAACTCTTAACTATTTAAAAGTTTTCAAATCTACGGGACATTAAAAATGTGAAAATCAAATTTCAGTTTTGGTCCTTCCAAGAAAGCTTAACGAGAGTGTGTGACAAATTCAATTTATCCGATCGCCGAATTTATGCCACAGTAGACGCTTTCCACAGGGGTTTCTAGACAAGCAACAGCGCAAAAGGCAAGAATTTTGAAAAAAGCAACTTAAAATTGTTAACATTGGACGTATCGATAAGTGTGTTTCCTTTTTAGCATTAAACTTGTACAAAATGAGCTCTAAACCTAGTACCCTTTCTCTCTAGTTCCTTAAGCTTCGCCTAAATTGCTCGAAATCTCGAAATGCTCGAAATTTCGAAAACCGCTTATCAAAACCTATCGATGTGGGGTCGGAAAATGTAGCTGACGATGAGATCTTGTGGGGGATTAGAGTGTTGAGCTTCTGTGAAAACCGTAAAATAGTCATCAACTCGGCTCAGCGGGGTGCACTACTATTAGAGAGAATACGGTAATCTACTGGTTCCCATAAATATTGAACATCCTATACATAGCTTACATATTATTGTAGCTGTTTAGGGTGACCACAATGCTACTATGTACATTCGAGTATAATATTGAAGTCATAATACGTGCTAAGAAGTGGGAGTAAGTTAGGGCAGTAATAGGGCACGGCTTATTATTATAAGAGAGTACGGTAATACGAGACGTTTTAAGATCAGGTAGTACTGTACTAGGATATGGGTTAAAAAATTGAGTATGGTAGTTGGAGTACTGTAATAGGACGCTTTACTAGGTTTAGAAGGTGGTTTAGAAGAGCATGGTTTAGAAGGTGGAGTACTGAAGTAGCGCAGGTAGCCCTTTAGGGGAGTAATAGGACACGGCTTATTATTATAAGAGTATTTTTGGCACCGTAGATCCTCCCGTTTTCCGCAAGACTTTTAGATTTCATACAACTTTTCAAACATTCCTTTAAACAATGAAAGAATTTTTAAATTATGGCCTTTAACGCACTGATTCACTCGATTTTCCATGTGAGTGTTTGTCAGCCTAAAAAGCACAGTATTTATAATTCGAACTTTTCCAGCTTTACAAACCTTTTTAGCTAAAACAACGGCAAGGCAAATGGCGAGAACGAAAAGAGTTCGCATTGTGAAGTTAACAAACAAATTATGATCCTCCCGTTTCCCGGAAGACTTTTATATTTTGAATCACACAGCTCTTCAAATATTTAACTCGTAACAAATCATATGATAGGCCCAGTTTCTCTATCTTTCAGTTCAAAGCGATATGCGTGGGTTTAAAGGTTTTGCTCATAAAAGGTCTGGTCGTTTGAAAATAGACAATGTTTGCTTAGCTGTTTTTGGTATTTCGATGGCCAGCAAGGATTCAAACGTCATTCAAACACAGAGAAGATTGATACGGATGAGAAATGCCATAAAAACTAACAAGAAAATGATGGTTAGGCCCCATGCCCTTTTCCGATAATATATAGACCATTCGACGCAGAATTTAATGCTGATTCCAATGATGTAAAAATTAGCTGCTGCATTACTAAATAAATCAAACAAATTAAAACATTTAAATGCAAATTTATCACAAATCAACAATACAAAATGATTACACAATAAAAAGTGATGCAAACTCAAAATTCCATACAAATAAGCATATCAAAAGTTTGGTAGGAATGAAAATAACGAAGAGAAATATTCACTATTCCAAAATAGAGGAAAAAAGATAGGAAAAATCACAATTAGGAGTTGAAAAAGGAAAAAAAATGAGACGAATCGGGTTTGAATTCTTGAGCCTCAGCTTGCTGTACAACCACTCGGCCACCGATAAAACGGTGTTAAAAAAATCGGCTTAAAAAGAGAGAAAAAAAAGAGAAAAATCGGCTCAATACTTTTATGCCAGTTTGGCGGTGATTACGCACCATTTGGCAGCTAATTTTTACATCATTAGAATCAGCGTAAAATTTTGCGTCGAATGGTCTAGATATCATCGAAAAAATGGTCTAGAAAAATGGTCTAGACATCATAGTCCATGGGACCCAATCATCCTTCCCTTGTAAGTCTAGACAGGCTCGTTTCAGTATCATTGTCTTTCAATTCCAGATTCAGTTCTTTCAACTTTGATTAATCTATTTCAAGATGCTTACACTTTCTTATCTTTCCATGTGAGCTAAAAACTTGGGCAACTGAGGCGAAATTCGGAAAAATGAGGGAAAAAGAGGTGGAGTTGTAAGAAAAGCGCAGAGATTATCATGAAATAGAGCCATGATCAGTTCCATTTTTTTGGGCTTTCTTGGGATCCGATATCTCTCTAATTTTTTTTTAGTCTATAAAATAGATAAAATCTGATAAAATGATACTTATTTGTCTTGATTAAACTGTTTCAGTGTTATTATATTTAATCAAAATTTCGACCTTGTTTTTGCTCATTAAAAATTTTCTGTTCTGAATACTGGCATAGTTTAAGTAATTTAGAAACACCAAAATGCGTTTTACATCGATTTTCCTCATCGCATTCTTGCTGATCGGTTAGTTTGCCACTGCTCCTCTCAATGTTTGTCATTTTAAGCAGTTCAAGTCTAACTAAATTTCATTTGGATTGGATTATCGAAAGTCAAATGACTAATTCTATGAAACTATTTAGAATTTAATTACCTGGTCAGCTTCTGATAATTAACTTGAAACCTGAAACCAAACCACGAAAAACTTTAAATTGTTTGATGTACAAATGCTTTCAAAAACTCTCCAATTTAGGCATGTCAATGGCCTTGCCAAAAGCTGAAGGCGAAGCCAACTCGGTTTATCAGCCCAGCTGAAATTGGAGTTGGACAGTGAGTTATTTAAAGCTTTGAAACCAACAAACACTTGATTTACAAACTATTTTTGAATTATGGCTAATTATTTTACAGGTCGGACAGCTGAACAACCGCTGCTTCAATCTCGGTCAAGAACGGGGCGGTTATTGCTTCGCCGGAAAAGCTTACTGTTACTAGATATCTGTGATTCTGTGGTCTGTGACTATCTATCTGTTACTGTCTATCTGTGATCTGTGATTCTATGAAATAAGTACTAATCACCGATAAATAAACACCAAATTTTCACCGATCTTTAATAGATTTTATAAAGACAAAGAGATTTGTACAATAAATTGTATAAAGATTTCAATTAAAGAGATTGCATTGGCATCTGGCATCAAGCTTGATCAAATCTTTATTATCATGCGGCAATATAAGCTTCTGTAGATCTTTGATCTGATAAAGTTAAAGTAGAAAGTGGTGCCAATTTTGTGCTTCTTTCTAATGAGTCTGTATCTAATCGAGAGGATTGAGTAGGTCTAATCGTTGACGTTTTTCCAAATAAAATATACTGAGCACCTCGACGATAGTCACCTGAAGAGTCTGGAGTTATGTTATAATAAACAAGGCTGAGAAAATTGATAATAGATCTGTTAGCAAGGAAAATAAGTATGTAGTACCTGAAGCAAAAACCCACAAGAACAGATATAGTTCTAGTTTGGATCTATTTACTTTAGTAACCTAAATACTTCACGAGTTCTTATTTGTGGCCAGGTTCACAATCATATTCTTCAATACAGTTTAAACGGATAGCCCACACTTACCAATAAAATAAATAATAACGATTGGATCAATCAATGGATTTAACGAGCCACCAAGTGGAGTTATCATCGCCAAATCGCCAACTCCAATCCCCAAGGCGGGTGCAAAAAACACACAAAGTGCCGGTAAATAAATAGTAATCACAGGTACCATGGTCTGGAATTTTGTTAATTAGGAAAATAGCTTTAAGTGAAACCCACCAAAACAATCAGACTACGAAAGAGCTGCTTTTGCAAGAGTTTCAATTGACGACTCAGATGCAATTGATGGGAAGTCATCATTGCATAAGTGTAATAGCCACAATAGAAAATACAGCCAAAACATGTTGCCGTTATTGCAGCGATGAGCGCCAGAGCAATCCAGGTCGACGGAACGAAAGCTCCGGTTTCGATGTCCTAAAGAAAGTAAGTTCTATGACAAGTAACATCTAACAAGTAGGACATCTAACAAGTAGGACTTTAGGACAAGTAGAACATCTAACTTTAGGATTAATCCTTCAGTACTTAAAAGAGGGATCGAAATTAGGACCGATGCTTGATTCTAACTAAAACCAAATTGTTTGAAAGCTGCGAATCTCCTCTCCGCTAATAAGTTTCCAACTTCCTCTAAAAGTTTAGACTAATTAAACCCGAGTTCCGCTTGGTAGACTTAATAAAATGAATAGCTCCAATCGATTCTCCGACCCCGAAAGCCCCAAGCACAAATTTACAGCTATCTGCAGGCAAAATCTTCTTTTTGTAACAATTAAAAGCAAAAGAAGAATCCCTGTGTAAACTGTCGAGGTGTTCTTTGTGCGGCCGCGTGATGGCAAACCGCTCCGGTATAAAGCGCTTCCCTGTGGAATCTCTGGGAGCCATTTTTGCTTTAAATTTGACTGCTATTTTGCTAGAAATTTTATTGTTTTTTAAACCAAAGCTTACCCAAATACACAAGGCTGAAACGAAATGAAAAGTTGATTCCGTTCGCTAATACCCGATAAATTATTGATAAACCGATTCCCTTTAATCATTTTGAAATGAAAATTCATCAACAATTATATTGCTATACCCAACTGCCAACGATTTAGTTTTAGGGAGAATCAGCCTCAATTCTAGGCCCTTCCAAACTGCCACGCTCCAATCTAAAGCCCAACTCACCCAATATTCGACTAACGTGTATGCTGTTTCTTTGGTTGTCCGATTGAAGTGAAGCCTCAATATAGGGTCCAGCTAAAAGATATGTCCTTGGTTCGAAACTAAAGCTTCAAGAACCTTTCTCGATCGCTCTGTTGTTGGACTAAGAAAGACCCCAGAAATCAATCCCCACAAAAAAGTTAATGAAAACATCACAGAACCCGATAGGAAAAGTCCGTGCACCGTTTCAAATAAGAACATCCACTGGTCTCTAAAATATTTTATAGTAACCAAGTTGTCAGATATGCCACCCACCTACACATTGTGATATACCGATAAAGAAAATGGGAAGCGAGCATGATCATTGTTGCCGCATAAGCGCTTTCCATGTAAATGATCAAGAATTGGGAGTTTATTTTAGGAATCGCATCAAGTAGTGGATTGCTGGGAATAACGACGAGAATCCCAGGTTGGGTGTACAGCAGCTAGGATAAAAGTGTAAGCTTCAATCACTCATTTGGAACCTTTAGAACTACGGGCTGACCGCGAATTATAGCGACTCACTTCTGAGGGTCTAGCTCAGCGAGAACTCAATAAATCCGTATGAAATTTTCGGGGGTCATTTTTGAGTATGTCTCCTGTAGCCAAGCCCATTTTCTAACTGATTAGTGCTTCTAGAATCTTTAGATCATCTTACAAAGTCGAGAGTCGCGGTACACCTGGCGAAAAACCCAATTTAAGGTCTTTGAAAGCCCGTTTTTGGAGTTAGGTTTTTGAGAAATCGTTTTTTTTTAAAATGTTACAGATTCCTCATGTTTTTTCGATAAATAACATCAAATCAAGAAGAAAAAACGATAAGTTTTTTTGTGGAAAAGCTGTCATCAGATTTTTTAAAATTTTTGAGTGGGCTCCCTAATTACATTTTGTTTGGAAGCAGCAATTTAGTCAAATTCGACGACAGAAAATTGAATTTTTATAAGGTCTTTGATCTGTTTGCTCTTTTTTTGCTTTTTTTTTGCTTAAACGTGATTATATTCATTAAATAACCTCAAAAATGGCTTTCAAAGACCTTAAATTGGGTTTTTCGCCAGGTATAGATAAAGATTCTAGAAGCACCGGTCAGTTAGAAATGGGCTTGGCTACAGGAGACTCCATACTAACAATAATGTTTTTTCAAAAAAGATATCAACCGATTTTTTTCTAATTTTTGAGTGGTCTCCCTAATCACATTTTGTTAGGATTCAAATTCGATGACAGAAAATTGAATTTCTATAAGGTGTTTGATCTGTTTGCTCTTTTTTTGTCTTAAGCGTGATCATATTCATTAAATAACACCAAAAACGGCTTTCAAAGACCTTAAATTGGGTTTTTCGCCAGGTGTACGGCGACTCTCAACTTTCTAAGATCATAA